GAATATTCAAAGTACTTTGTTACAAGATATTTAAACAAGCGAACACACTGCGAAGCGTTAGTTTTAAATAATTGGAAAAAAAGTTATGATTGTTAATAGAAAAGTGTGAAAGCCCACGTCATTTAAATAAGTAACATTTGGTGAATCAATGTTTGACGGCTAAATATTGAGTCACCATAAAATTTAAGTACAATGCCGTTATAGGTAGGTATCGAATTTTCTACTGACATCTTGCCTATCTCCGTAGAGCATTGAGGCTGAATGATATGCATTGCCTACATGGCTAGCCGCTATTGGAATTGATTTATCAATAAAGCGGGTGTGGTTACACTACAAAATCTAAGAGCCACCTCAACTTAAAGGTTATATTTAGGTGACTCCATCATCGTCCTGATCTTCTTTATCAATTTTCATCATTGCCTCCAAAATTGGAAAATTTCATAACATTTCAGCTTTCTTTCAATGTCTATTAATGTCATCCATGTCTCTGTGTTAGCACTAGCCTACTAGCTTTCATAAACTAGTGTAGCTTATATGAAATGAATATGAAGAGCGATCTTCGCCGCAATAAACACTTCTTAGCGGTACTGAAAATATGACCTGAAAAAAACTCAGGCCTGTACAGGATTTGAACCTATGACCTTTGCGATACCAGTGTAGTGCTCTTCCAACTGAGCTGACAAGCCAAGTGGGAACTGGTTATTATGTTGGTTCGTAATAAACCCGTGAAATGATGAATGAATGAGTTTTTTCAGGTCATATTTACACAACTACCTATAGCTTATATGGTTTAATAACTATGAATTAGAATGAATGTTTTCAGTTTAATTTATATTAACCTGTTGTGTTGCATCAAAAAACATTGTGCTTTGCATATTTAAGTCTAGACAGGCATATTTTAAGGAAGTAATGTATGTATGTCCCAAAATAATGTGTGCATTGCGAGGTAGCTTAATTTAATTAACATCAGCATTGTATAAACTACTTTCATATATCTGTCAGACGTGTAAAATGAATTTTAGCATTTTAGGGTCTGTGTTGTAAAAATGAACATTTAGTAACAAAAAAAAAAAAATTATCACCATTCTCCGTAACTGCCTTTTATTAGTTGTCGTCATTGTCATCTGATTGACATCGTCATAGTTACCATCATCATGATTATCTTCGTCACCTTCTGTAATGGTTTCGTAATCGTTATCATGATCAATGCTATCTTCAGCAGCATGGCAATTTTTATTGTGTAGCAAAACTTTTGCCGTTTGTCTAGAAAGGTTTCAGATAATAGTGCTGCTGTTCTCGAGAAGTTGATATTCCCTTAATATTGCACGATTGTGGGATGAATGAAGATTGAATTTTAAGCATTCGCGTGTGCCATAAGATATGTAAGTGATAAAAAATAATAGTGATAGCAAAATCGAGAAATGTTACGTAAAAAGCGTCACTTACCTTTACTCCATGGCCGCCCAGTCTATTCTGGCCATCCTTTGTACCGAGTGTTTTGAACTACAAAAAATAAGAATCCAATCGTCGTCACTCAGAGGCCAATAAAGTTCACAGAAAAGTCGACTGATCTCCATCAAAGAGCCACCAGCGAGAGCAAAGAGCAAATACCTACCTGTTCGAGCAGCAACAGTTTCCAAATTCTCCCGCATTGGCCTGAGAGGCACTCCGCTTTTCATCCATTCTGGCCTTATTCTTATTTCTTTTGGGAGGGATTCAAAATATCGGTCAACTTACACGCACCGGCCACCCGCAAAAGCGACAACCCTCTCTTGGGAGAGCGTTATTTGATTGATTAAAGGGGTGAGTTTCCAAAGAAACTGTGTTGCTGCGTCGGTGGGAGAGTATAACAACGTAATTTGGTTTTATCAACTAAGTTGATAACGTAAATTGGCCACAGTAAAGAATTTTAAAGGCGACGTTTCAAGCGTTAGCCCTTCGTCTCTCGCTCTGACAAAGGGCTAACGCTCGAACGTCAGCTTTGAAACTCTACTGTTGCAAATTTACGTTACCGACTCAGTTTATAAAACCAAATTACCTTATCATTTATTTGATCAGACGAAGTCGCTAAGCTTTGTTATCATATCGCTGGCAGTGCCCGTGGGCAGTGTGAAGCGAATCCTGTTCTCTGATTGGCTACCTAAGTGGGCAAGATGACCCATCTCAATGTTTGCGATGTAGTCGCAAAAAATCGGCAGAGGGAGGTCATAACGAAGAAAACATAAAGAACTCACCCGGTTTTACTGTACTACAAACACAGTTGGCTTTCTCGCCCAGCTCTCTTAAAAAATCTCGTTCAGTCAAGATGGCTGGATATTAGCCTCGTTCTTTTTTCCCCGCTTTTACGGACCTCGACTTTGTTTCGGTTCATAAGAACTTCTTTTCTGTTCGCAAGAACAGAACTTGGCTAATATCCCGCCATATTGACCTCACGCTTGGTCAATAACGCATATATATTGAAATCCTTTAATAACACCAACATATTGGTCAAACGGCTGCGCATGCGCACATAATTTCAAGCAACTTGAATAATTTGCCATCGTAGACACGGAGAAGCCTCAGGGCAGCATATATTTTTTTTCGCGATTTTTAAGGAAAGTTCGAACTTCTAATTCTAAGACTTATATACGTTGTTGTTTTATACTCTCCCCACTTTGTGCTAGTTTACACTCTCATATATAAATATTTTTTTGCACTTTCCACGGCGGCGCAACGAAGTCATATGGTAAGCTTGGTCGTGCAGGTGGTGGTAGTTTTTCCATGGTGGAATTGCCGGTAAACACCGAGGAAAATGCGTGAAAAATGGAAGAACCAGAGCTACAAAAGATACTTGTGAGGATAGCAGGGTATGGTTTTCAGTCACAGTAGACTGGGAAGAACTGCAGGGTTAGAGAAGGTTCTGTTATCTGCCTTCGTAACCGAAAAGAAGCGCCTTCTTTAACATCTAATTAACAATTGAAATCGTACTGTTATTCAGCTTTAGTGCATCATATTATTATGTCAACAACTGCTTCAAGGCATCACAAATTCGAAAGCAAATAGAACCGCATTAAGTTTCAACTCAGTTGTAACTGGGTGTATTTTGTTTGCGAGAAGTGTTCTATTTGCTTTAAATTTGTGATGTCTAAACTCTTAGCATTTCATTTCAGAGTCTGTTTTCAAATGCCATTTCGCAAAGGTTGTAGACATCATACATCACTGGATGCTTGACACCAATTTCAGACTCTAAGGCTACATTGGCTTTCTCGAGCATTTGTTCATCTGTTAGCGAGGCATACTCTTCAGCTAGCTCTTCATTATCGCCAGGCTCGTCGTCATCGCTGGAGGTTTCCTTGCCATCTGATTGCTTTCTCTTCGTAGAGAGTCGCGAAAAAAATCTCTGGATTTGAACTTTGAAAGCCATTCCATTCTACCAAACATTAGTGAGCCATCGGTGTTGCGAGCATTGCGCATATCGTTAGCTACTTGTGCAGGATCTTCCTTCCACCCAATTTTTGACCAATGTCAAACTTTTTCTGTAAGTAGCCACGGACTTTGTCAGAAAAGCGTCTTTGTCCGCCTTTAGGTTTGTGAAGTCCCCAACCCATTCGGAGCGAGTTTACCGCGGTTGTGGTTTCAATTTGAACTTCTTTCTAGAGGCGAGACTTTCTTTTGAAATCTAGTGGAATGCTCTGGAAACGCTGAACCCAATCGATTCCTAAGTGGTCGTACACGCTCCTCTGTACCGTCTTCACTGGGCTGTGATCTGCAGTCACACTTAGATGAGTTTCCAGCTCTGCACGACTAAGGAATTCCTTTGAGCACTGGGGATGGGGACATTCGAAGGTGCCACCGACATCGTCAATTCTCCCGCAGTGCTTGGTCGTCTTATCCATCTCTCGTGGCTTTCATCGGGCATAAAATCCTGTCGCAAACATCCTTACCGTGCTGTGGTTCCGAAAAATCATATCTCACGACGTCAATTCCCTGACGACTTCCGACATCTCGGAGGGCCGCTAGGAGACTGCTGTTGTGATAACAACCCGCTTCGTCTGATCTTAGGTACACCTTTGTTATGGTTGAATGGATTATTTTTAAGACAGTGATGAGTTGCTCGAGGATTGAGGGAACAGCGAACCAATCCTGGCTGCAACTGTTTAACAGGTGAGCGCAAAAGGAGACCTCTAGCTTCCCTCCTTTCTTGACAATGACACTGCATAAATGCCAAGTTATGCCCCTCTTTGCAAACCACTCTGATTGCTTTCCGCGAAACTTTATTTGCAAAAACTTCATTGCCTAGTCAGATAATATAAAAACTTTGTCCTCCGGAAGAGAAAGCAGGATGCTTTGCTTGCATTTTTCCTGATTGTGGGCGTGCATAACGTGTGCCTTCCACTCATTGACTTTCTCTTCAGCGACAAGTGCATCTTGTCGAAGATCGTCCTCCTTCCCTTAAATATTTATCTTGGAGGAATACTTTTCAATGGCAGAATGAATTTCCTTAATAACCTCCTTCAGTGCCTCACAGACGTTACATGAAATATTATGGTCGTGGTTACAATCTGTGCAATATTCAACGTCAGTGGGATCACTCAGGGCGAATGCTTTCATCTCGATAGTGTTACTTCGCCTCTTTCAGCCTTGTGCACGTTTGCGCACACCACTCCTTGTTCGCCCCCACTTCTTCCAATTCGTCTACAATCTTGTGAAGTGCTTCAAGACCATCGACGCCATCTGCCACCGTGTTATCAAGACCTTTAAGGGATTTTCTCTAGGAGGCTTCCTGAACTTCAAGAATCCTCTACAAAGTGGCGCGACTCATAGGACTGAAATTTTCTTCTTTGCAAAAATCAAGGTACTGTTTAATGATGGTACATCTTGCAACGGTACGCACTGTGTTTGGCATCACTAATTCTTCACCACTTTCAAGCTTGAGTTTTCGGCTTCCAAATGCCACATCCTGATAGCAGTAAGGGCGAGATGTAAATCATCTGATCGAACTCGATGCTGTAGTATCTTGGCTACTGGGATATCGGGGCCTTAAGAAGAACTATGCACTCTGGCTTTTTTATTTGCCTATCACTTACATTTTCAAAAGGTAGATGAAGAGCCTTCAACTCGCTTACTTTAAACCTATTCGCGTATATACTAAGGATCTGTGTCCTTAGCATGTGAGATGGCGCTCTCCTATAGGCCGCGACTAACGCCTCTAGACCAGGGTCAGCAGTCGTGCCGTTCACTTTTTCTCCCTGGAGAGCTTGAAGCAGCTTCTCTCCATCATTTGGTGCTGTGACATTGCAAACCAACCTGCATGCCTCAGTCGCTTTACAAACGAATTTTTCTCGTTCTACATTAGTACATGCATCCCAGCTTTTCAGCTGATATTGCAGCTGATCAACTTTTTTTTGCCCTGATACCTCTGCAAGGTTTTCCATTGCAGAGTAAAAAACCTGAACGGAAGCTCTACAATTGCTCTTAACCGTCAGGTTCGATTCCCCTTCTTCTCCACTACTTTCTAATTTATCAGTGGGACATAACCGAGGAGTCCACAGTGTGTCTGTCTGAACATGGCTAACGTCGATTCCTGTTGTCGACGGCACTTCCTCGTGGGCGTAAAGAGCTGCCGCAGCAACCTCGTTAGGAGCCCTGTAAAAAGAACGTGATAGAAAAGGTAAATCACGAGAAGTCACCGTCATTACTTCACCTCCTCCAGCAATTCATCTCCAAACAGTCTCGCCTCCCCCCCCCTATATATGTTCCCCTCTTTCCCTGTCTATAACTCTCCGTTTATTCCAATTTTTCAGTCGTTCTTCACTCATTTCTCTCATCGATCTCCCTCCGGCTGCATCTGTCTATGTCCGACTACGTTTCGTTTAGAAGTTTCAATTTAATTCTCTCCGAGCTCAATTGTACCATGCGATATCCCATATTAGGATTTACCGCTTGTGTAGGTGTGTTGAGCTGTTTGAGTCGCTACCGGCCTTATTCTCTACATCTGGAGCCCAAGTCGACTCCTCTATGGTAGCGTTATGTCTCTTCCGACAATTACTACAAATTATTGAAAGAAGAAATATACTAATTGCAGGTTTCTTTGAAATTTCTCTCAGCAATCATGAACAGTTTTAGGTCACACTATCAAAACTTCCTCAAGACATCCCGGGGCAAACAAATTCCTTGCATTTATCTTCTTCCTTCTTTCCTCGCCCCAGGGTCCCAGGGGCATGACCGGCGAAAAACCGAGAACGAGGCTGCCCCAGGCGAATGTCATCACATAGTCCTGTTGTAAAACTGAGTACCTCCTCAGTCTTTCTTCTGCTGCGATCAATTTACAAACGGATTTGCTGACCACACAATCGATGAAGCGTGGTGTGTCCAGTTAGTAATCATCACACGCGCACTTAATACGTCTTAATAAAGTTTGAGAAATCATACTGAGGCTAATTGATAAAATCTAACACTATTTCAAAGTGACAACATCGAAAATGCGGGAAATATAAATTTGGTTCTCCATCAAGTACAAGGAGAACTTCGTAACTGACTCACGTGATCCAATCGGGACAATCATTCCATGAAATTTTAGGATTTCTTTCGCCATTTTGAGAGTAACTACATCCCTTTTTTTATAGCTTTACTACCGCCTTGGTGGGTAGGGTATTGACAAGGCCTTCGCTGAATCAGTACATCCCCAACTTTTGTCGATGTCTTGGGCATATCATCGTTTCGCTAAGCTTTGAAACTGGTGATTAAAAAATACCCACACATGTTAAAATGAGTTCATGCTCAGTTAGCGTTTCGCGAGATAAATGACAAGAGCTTAGAAGGTTTACAATTGCATGATACATTGCAATATCCAAGGCTCACGGACGGTGTAAAAGCTCTTGAGCTACCACACGTTCCTCTATATTTCGAAAAGTACGACAAAAAGCATGGAGTCCCCATGGTGTTGTTCGCAAATCGCGAACCAAATCAATACTAAGATTTTGTGTAACTTGAATTGAATTATTTATGAACTAAATTAGTTGTAAATTAAGTTGTTTTTCTCTGGCTAAGCTGCCTCCCAAAACAGTTTGAAAATTTGAATATCTATCCGAGTTTAAACGATGTCTTTTAACAGATTTATAACAGTGATAACAGTTACTTTTACATGACAGACGATTTTGAAAAGTAGCTGGTTTAGGTGCTTTTCTAAATTTTCGCAACTACATGTGAGTAAAATTATTGCAAACGAACTAACTAATTGAATTTCATAAGGTTGCACTGCGCGACACAGAATTCACGTCAGTGGAAGTTCTGTGCCGTTCTTTATATCTACAGGGAAATAATAATCCAGTTTTTATTGAAAATATCTTTTTTCTGACGATTTTATGAGAACTTATAGTTTATGAGCACAAAAGAGGGGCCCTTCCACATAGTATGTTCTCGTGGTGAAAGTTTTCTTAGATTAAAAGTTACATTTTCGAATTAAAAGGACTGCATTTTAAGTGCTTTTAAGTTGAACAGTTTCTAAATGAACAACACGAAATGTTCTGAATAAACCTGAATCTTGTTATAGTTATCCTGCCTCTGAAGTTTTTTCCCCTTCCTCGTTAATTGAACGATAACCGAAACAATAGATCGCCTAGAGATAAGAGTCAACTTTCCGCGGCTGTATTTTTCTAGATTAAGAGTTTTCTTTATTTAATGATGTTTTATCCTATTGAGAGTCTTAAGCTTTTAAAGACTCAAATCACTCGTCAAACATAGGTTGGTCGTATAAATTTCGTTTATTTTTTAGACCGCTCCATGTGCAATGTTAGGTCGAATTTTCGAAAATGCACACAATTTGTTGGCCGGCTATTCTAGAAGTTCGCTCTTCTACCCTATTTTAGTCAGTCTGGATAAAAATATCCTGGGAAAGAAGTTTGAATTTTGCGCTGAGCCGAGATAAAAAGTTGCATATTTCCGGTCATGGCAGTAGCGTCGAAGTAGGTGTCAAACAAAAGACAAATTTGAAGTGAAAAAAACCGTTAAAAAAACAAAATTTATGTGCTTTGATGTCATAAAGGGTTGATCTAAATATGCGAAGCAAAACAATACCCTCGAACCAGGATTTTGTGAAAAGATGAGCTCGGCAATTTGTGCCATTTTGATATTCGGTGTTATTCAAAACTAGCGTTTGAGCAATGAAGCGATTTTCGCTCAGAAAAAAATCATTTTGCTATATTTTAAAAAACCAAGGTGGTTTCGATTACCTTTAGACTAAGGTAGATTCCTGGGCAAAGTTTGAAAGAAATAAATGTTTCGACCCGAAACGCACCGGACCGCTATTAGAGAGACTGCCTCTTAAGTACTTAATAAATTATTCAGAAACTTCTACGGTAGATAAGAATATTAGAATCTCAACATCTACATCGAGGAGTCTATAGTTAACAGGAAAATCTATATGATAACAAATGATAAACTAGAAAAATTTAATAAACGGCAGAGGTCATTTATTATTTTAAATCTCTGAATCAAATAAGATCTTTGTTTATTCAGACAGAAATGGCTGACGAGATTGTTACTTGACTAGGAAATGTTATCTTCTTTAACATCTAATTAACAATTAAAATCGTACTGTTATCCAGCTTTTAGTGCATCCTTTCAATTAGCCAGTCGATTCGGCTATGATTGGTTAGATAATAATTAAAATCTCAAACTTTCATTTAAATTATTCAATATCACCCCCTTGTTGACTTCTGATGAAAACGCCTGCGACACAATTACAAAGCTGAGGAGTATGCTCACCTTAGACGAAATCAAAATGAAATTTACTCTGTGTGCTGAACTTATGGTGATATTAATGTCCGAAGTCGTAGCATCTCAAGCATTTCTTTGTAAGGAAGCATATCTTTCTTTTCCTGTGATAACTTACAATCATCGCCGACTTAAAGGCTTCACGTTCAAAACAATTCACTTTGCCAGCGTGGTATCCTGTGGTTTGCTATGTCAGAGAAACCATCGATGCGTTTCAACAAATTTCAGAAAAGTTTTCAAAAGTGAGGGAACCTGTGAGTTGAACGACAGAGGAGCTCTCCTTACTGAGAAAGGAAACGAACTGGAATACGACGAAGAAGCAATTTACACCCAATTTTACGACACGGAGGTAATAAAAAAAATCTCGATGAAAGACAAAGAAGAAGGTGTTATTGGTTGCTCCAGACACTTGTCTTTCATTCGTGGTATCTTTCTCATAAAATCTTCATATTTCGACGACAGATGTGAAAACTTTCCATCTGTCATATTTTTCTTTGAATGTTTTTATCGTTTGGCCTTCAAGTAGCTCACTTGTGCAGTCTCCATACGGTGATGAACCTGGAAGACTAGTTGATTTCCCGATAAATTAAAAAATAAATGATTTTTTATGTTTTCAGCATTACTTTCAGGCATTCAAGGAAGATTTAAAAGTCGTCATCTGCAAATGTAAGTAGCGTTGGTTTGAAAGGTATTCTTGAGATTAATGTTAACGACCTCGTGTTTAAATTACAATGATTTACTTGTCCCGGCTGCTTCTTGTCTCTCCGCCAATAGGATGCGGTGTCTGTCGTCCTCGCGAACCTTCGCGAACCTTCGCAAACATTCCCGAACCTGCTTGAAACACTCCGATTCTTATAGTTTCCTTGAAAGTCCACGAATGGTGTCAAAAAAAATTACCGAGGAAATTGTTGCTCAGGTTACATATTTATCAAAGTGGAAATCAAGCTTTAAATTTCCACAAGTGACCAAGACAGAATTTCTGCTTACAATAACCATACAATATCAATCAGACAGGTGATGAGAATAATGAAAAATATAAGTCCTCCTTTATTCCATGATAAACAAATCAATATCTGTGTGATTGTATATCTCTGTCTCAATTTCAGGTGCGGAATCACCAAAAGCCCCAGTTCCCCTCGGCATGGAAAGCGGTGCTATTTTTGACTCACAGATCACCGCTTCCTCCATGTATAATGATAAACATGCCGCACCGAATGCTAGATTACATTTCAAAGGATCCCAAAACCCGCTTAGATATGCTTCCTGGGTAGCTGGAGTGAAAAACACCAACCAATGGCTGCAAGTGGATCTTCAGCAAACCACAAGGGTAATAGGCATAGCGACACAGGGGAGACATGATCACGATCAGTGGGTTACTAAATTCAAGCTACAATATGGTGGTGATGGACTATTTTTCAGAGTTTACAAGCCAAACGGAGACAAATCAGACACGGTATGAATACAAAAGACTTTTTGAACATGATGTTTTTTTCCTTCTTGCTGTAGGGTGGGACAACGAAAAATAATTATTCCCCAAGAGCGATAGAACCTGAGACCTTCGAATTCTTCGCTCCAATACACTAACGCTTCGCCACAGTGATCCTACAGACAACTGAGCTATTACGAGGTCCATCATATGTTCAAATGTGAGCTTTTCTTTTCTTGTTTTTGGTGGGTCTGAGACGAGGTGGAGATACATGAGAACGCTAGAGAACGAGTAGTAAAAAATTAGTGAGATCAAACTCTGTTAGTTTATATCTATATTTATGTTTGATTGCTGATGAACATGTAGAAAAGCATCAACTAAGGTTCTAGGTTTAGAGTTACCGCTCCTGTGTAATGCATTCATTCGTCAATTTTACATTCCACAATATTCTACTCAGGTTTTCCCAGGAAACACTGACAGGGACACAGTTGTGTATCACGATCTTAACCCGGTCATTGATGCTCGCTTCGTTCGAGTTCTTCCGATGGAATGGTTTAAGTTTATCGGAATGAGAATGGAGCTTTACTCTTGCTAAAGTAAGTTATTGGTTGAACTGTTTAACCCTGGCAGAATTATTGTGCTTAACTCCCCAAAATGATCAACATGAATCTTCTTTCCATAACATCCTTACATTATCCAGCAAACAGGCAATGAGAATAATTATTCAAACTTATCAGGTAGAAGTTGTTATCCTGATCTTACATCAAATTCTCATAACTCATTTACAGGGATATGTGTAGCAGCTAGGCTGTGGGGAGAATTATCAATCAGATCTTGGGAGTTAAAGGGTTATTGAGTTGTATGCGGAGAAATTCAATTTTTACAACGACTCCTTCAAACATGGGAAACCAAAGGATCAGAATGGGGAGGGGAAATTCAGCGCAATGGACTGGTTTTAATAAAAGAGTAGTGCCTAGAGACTAGAAGGAACCCTGGTTTAAGGCCAGTTGGCCTTACGTTTTATAATGATAATTGGACCGAGTGGTCGCTAATCATACGAGTGACTGACAAAATCAGACGAACGCGAAGCGGGAGTCTGATTTGTTAATTATGAGTATGATTACCAGAAGGAATTGAACGACTAGAAGTCCTGTTATTAACTAGTCAAAACTATGAAGGTTTGATAAAGAGACTAGACATCGGTTTATTTGGATCCAACATAATGACCAGCTCCCAGTTGGCTTGTTGGGTTCAAATCCCGTACGGGCCTGAATTTTTTTAACACAGTTAACTTGGCGAAATGCGAATATAGCGCGCGCACATAACGCGTTCTGTCCACTTACGCAGGTATGATGTGTTAATTATAACTTTCTCTTAAACTGTCCAATTACAAGCATGACGCGTACACTGTCTTATTAGTGCTCTAATAATATACATGGAAAAATTACTCAGTTTTGATTGGTTATAACAAATGCAGTTTTCAGATAATTCAGTGCAGAAGAGAGTTAATTCAGTGCAGAAGAGGGGTAATTCAGTGCAAAGAAAGAAACAAATTAGACATTCTGATTAGTCAATAATCAAAGAAACTCGCAGATAGCTAATCAAATGCGAGCCTTGGATGTCGCAACAAAATTTGAAAATTTGAAAATTTTAAACCTCGGAAACGACGATTCCATTTCATCAAAAGTGATTCGGACACAGACTGAACAATTCCTTGAACTGTTTAGCCGGACTTTGAACTTTTTTTGCATCTTAAAGATGTGAAGATATCATTGCATATTATTGTTTTGATCGTACGCACGGTTTGAATAAATTGTTTTTTGCACTTGATGCGCGCGCTTTGCTTATGTTTAATTATGATAAGCCATCTCGTATTTTTCCATGTATATTATTAACACGTAATCACATGATTTTTCTCGTGCAATTTGGAATAAACAAGCACTTGTTAATGTTTTCAAAGACCGCAAATTGCACTCGCCCTACGGGCTCGTGCAATTTTGTTAGTCTTTGAAAAAATTTACTCGTGCTTATTTATTCCAAATTGCACTCGAAATCATGTGATTACCTATACAAATCGGGCTGGTGATAACCAATCACGTTCGATAATTTTGTTATAGTTTTGATTACATATGTAATTGCAATATGGCAGTAAAGTTCAAACATTTTATATCGCATCCTTTCCATCTTTGCAGTAATGAACATGTAACTTCTTTTTAGCGCTTATTTTAAAACACATTATTCCACGAGCATGCAGATGAAAAGGTGAGATGAATCTATTAGCGGTAGGAGCTGAAGGAAGAATTTTCAATCAGATCTTGGGAGTGTAACGGTCAAGGTAGGGGAATTGAAATAAATGCAGGCAAGGAACTGTATTGTACGTGCTTGCTTATGTTGGTGTGTCTCCTTATTTTTCATTTTGTAGACGAATAACAGAAGTTGACGAAGAATACCACTGTGATGGAATCCCTCCTTTGCTGACACGATGCAATCCTTGTTTGTGGGCTACAAAGTGCAACAGCTACTTGACTGATCCACCAATTAATTATCGTTATTAACAACAGATTAAATGGTAGTTTAAGCTTATTAGTCATTATTATTCATGATGTGAGCCAAATGCACCGATGGCAGCACATAAAAACACACCTGTGAAAACGAACGAACGAATATTCTCTTTTTGGAGCCTCATGTTCAATTAACCTCAGTGCCTGACGAAGACCAAAGGTGTAGTGTTCCAAATATAGTTTATGTTTGGATGGCCTCATTGAAAACCAGGCTGGTGTCTAATAATAAAAATATGTAATTTTTCATGGTCTCTTAACTACTTCAAGAAGGCAATTGGTTTTTTTTCAATGGAAAGGGATACATAAGTCAGTGTTCATTATGAAAAGAGCGGCAAGGAACTTCTGATGAGTTGACATGCCGTTAAAACGAGTTCACCAAGTTTTTTTTGTTAAACCTGAGAAAATGCTGATAAATATCGCGAGTAAGTGTATACCCAGATAGTCAGAGATGTGCTTTGGAATTGTTGTAAAATAATCGCACAGTAAAGGACCTTTGTACAACTGTTAAGGTTCAGAAACTAGTATTACACTTCTTAAGGCGAAATTTGCCTTGATTAATAATTATAATAATAATGATAAAAAATTGATTGTGATAATAATAATAACATTGGTTAAAAATTAGCGGTGAACACCTTGGCTCTTCTTGTCCGAAACAGGAAAACATTGAAAGTCCTTGACTTTTTGCGAGAGTCGAATATGATATTAATATAATTATAATAATAATAATAATAATACTTTATTTATATAGCGCTATTTATATCACTATCCAATCACGCTATACAATGATTTTAAAATATCTCACGTAGAATTATTTAGAACATGAGTAAGATAAACTAACTGTTAAAATAACTAAGCTGTCAAAATCAGAATTAAAACTAAGAATAATAAAACCTCATGGTAAAAACTTATTAACTAACTACCTACCTACCTAAGTAAATAGTTAATTGACTAATCAATAATACAATATCTGGTAAAAAGCGGCTTTCCTAAAAAGATGTGTTTTAAGATTGCGCTTGAATTGCAACAAATTGACGCTTGAACGGATTTCCAGCGGCAGTGCTTTCCAGAGTTTAGCCGAGGCTACAGAAAATGATCTTGAACCATGTCTGGTAAGTTTGTAAACAACGTCAACCAAACGATGGCCATTAATTGATCTTAAATTGCGTCTGGGCACATATTATTTTATAAGATCGCAAAGTTATATATTTTGGCGCTAAGCCGTTGAAGCATTTAAATGTCAATAAAAGAATCTTAAAAACTATGTGCTCTTCAATTGGCAACCAGTGGAGTTTACAGAGTACTCGTATTATATGGTCATATTTACGCGTATGAGTAACAATCCTGGCTGCTGCATTTTGAGCGTACTGTAGTTTCCTTAGTGATTCCTTTGGTAGACCATACAGGAGTGAGTTTTACGGATAATATCGATATATGATAATCATGAATATCGTAATAAAATACGGATACTACAATGGACTGACACTAAATTAAAGAATAGTTCCCTGGTTTAAAGTCACTGAACTGCCCCTGAATGCTCTCACTTAGTTCTAAAAAGGCGTTTATGGGAGTTCACGCGTTTCACATCGTATTACTTTAAGTTTTATCAGTGATGACGATGATGAAACTTATCCTTAGGGTCTGAATACATAACCTTGAAAGCAGGTGAGAAGATGAGATGAATCTTTTAGCTGATGGGTTTTGTATCTGATTGAGCACAAAATTCTCTGAACCTGATTACAAATAAAAGTCTAACGGTTAAGGCAAGGCAATTGAGAAAAACGGCCAAAACTAGTGCACATGCTTATTAATACTGTTTTTTTCGTCTTATTTCTTATTTCTTTTCATTTTGTAGCCGAATAACAGCACTTAAAGAAGAATACCACTGTGATTTAACCCCTCCGTTGCTGACACGATGTGATTGTTGATTTTGGTTTTCAAGTACAACAGCTGGTTGACTGATTAGCGAGTTAATTATTGACAGTTTTAGCTAAATAGTCGCTCTGATTCGTGATGGAAGCAAAACGCACCCGTCGCACCACATTAAAACGCACTTGTAAAAATGAACGAACATGCTCTTTTGAAATCTCGTGTTCTGAATCAACATCGATTTCAACGAAGACAATTTCAGTATGCTATTTTGCGCAGACATTAACCACTGTGTAGAAAATCCTTGTTTAAAAGGTGGATTCTGCAGGAATATTGCTAATGAGTACAATTGCACCTAGGTGGACGGCTTTTTTTTTATGCTACCGCCACAAGAGCGACGACGTTAAGGACACTTGATGTCTATTTTGTTTTATCCATCCTCAACAAATGATATAGCACGCTTTTGCTGAAATAGCACAATGCTCTCTGATATGCAGATGTTGTTTGTATTTTAAGTATAAGTCTAATCTTTTGAGTGTGTTAGTTCTCAGCACGAACTGCCTTGCCATGTTTCAACTTCTTGACAGCTTACATGAGGGTCCCCAA